AACAGCTCATGATCCAAAGCATATCACATCAAGTGTCAAACATGGTCCAATCAGTCAAAAGTGGGCCAATAAGTGAGCAAATCGACGTATGATCAAAAATGGCATCATACCACTCTCGTCATTGTCCAAATACTTGTGAACGGCACTCGGGCTGACGGTAGGGAATCCTCCAAGCCACAGGAAAGTACTTTCCACAGCCAACAAAATGCCCTGTCCTACTTTTGTCCACCCCCCGCCCCCATCAAAGACCGATAAGTTACCTCTTCACAATTGATTCGCCCTCTGCTACTTAAACGGAGTCCATTATGTTATGCCGAGTCAGCAGTTGTCCACCCCACCTCCCTTTTGTTGCCCCGTTAGCACGCTGACAAACACACACACACACCAAAACAAATGTGACTTGCTACGAGCACATGGATGGAAGGCGGAATGTTCGGGCATCCTCGACGACGTGCCCGCTTTGCGTATCTGCAGTACTTTAAACAAGGCGCCGTTTAGCGGGCCCGTTAAATGTGCTTTAAGCTCAGCGGTATCGACGGGCGGGCTCCTTCACTCTTAAGTGCTGTTCGGATATCCCCTGCATCAGCGGATATGTGTTGTTTTTTTTTTTTTTTAACAACTTTGCATCCTTGAAATGACCAAGCAAATAGAGACGGACAAGCTGAAACGATCAAACCTCCCAAAGACACACACACGCACACGTAGGTGAGAGGAGATAGTGGTGGGTCGCCACCACGAGCAATGGAGGCCGGTTGTGGATCATGTAAGGGGATCGATGCTTATCAACATCATCCGGCAGCATGTGGTGGAATTCTACTTCAACTTTGCGTCTTTTTGCTGGGATTGTCTCCGAGTCCGGCTCCTAACTGCTGATATTTACGTTCAGTTTTTTTTTTGTTTGCACAAGATCAAGTGAGATGCCATGATGGGATTGGATGGCATGGAAATTATTGCCATGGTCGTTGTTGCGGGGATGTTTTATTTTGTGCTCAAACAGTTTGGGATGTGTGAGCCTTTGTTGCAGGAAGGTAAGACACGCTAACTGTTCGGTTCACCCGTGAGGATGATGATGATGTCATCTTCCAAAGAACTATTAAAAAATAATAATAATAATAATAATAATAATCTGTTTTTTTACAAATGTTGCATGTTATGTTTATTATCGTGGCTCTGATTTGCTTTTGGTAAAGCTGCTGCAACTGTTGCTCGAAACAGCTCTCATTTTTATGTAGTGAAGTCCGATATGTTAAAGTCCTCCCGCAGTACCAAACGGCATGAATATAAATGTGTTATTCCTTTATTTTCATCGTCTCTATCTCTCCCCTGGTCTTGTCTCTTCCCACTGTGCATTTGTGTTGCGCTCTTTGTCAAGATGGTGAGTATGTTTACACATATTGAGTTGATATTTTGGCACTTTTGGCACAATTCTCACTTTTCATGGTGGACATTTTGAATTCTTGAATAACTCACAATGCAGAAATTTACAGGAAAAACGAAAAAATATTGTTGTCTGGGGTATGTAGTCATGGAATTTTTTGGGGGGGGTTTGTTTGCCACTTCAAGTGTCAGGTATCCTAAGTGAGAACGATCCACACGACTTGCAACTAAATAATAAACTGCATCCAAAGTGTCCAAAATGAAAGTCGAGTAAAAACTACTCGGAATAGTCGCTTATTCCTTTAGCATCAGATGCTATGAGCTGTTTTCCCAGCTTTTATTTTTACATCTTATTTTCTATTTTCCACACACTTTCCTCACATCGTCTTCCCTACCTTATGTTTTGCATCCGGATGGAAAGCATTACCATCTTTTGCCTTCCATTTCCCTCTGGTAGATAATATTTTTTCCTGTTATTGCCGTGTCTTCACATCCCCCTTTTGGCTTTTTTTTCCCTTCCCTTCCCTCTGGCAGATAGTATCGACAGTGACCTCGAGCTCTCCATGGTACGTCATCAACCCGAGGGTCTTGAGCAGCTCCAGGCGCAGACCCAGTTCACCAGGAAGGAGCTTCAGTCCCTTTACAGGGGCTTCAAAAATGTAATCAAAGGTTTCTTCTCTTTTCTGCATGTGCACTACAATGCTGAGCTTGAGCTCTCACGTGATTAAAACCGTCCGCGGTGCGTGCTAATGCATGTGGGGAGTTGCAGGTTTTTAGTGCACTTTAAATGAATTAAACTGTAATTAACGTGGAGACAAAGACGACAAGTCAGCTTTGCCAAAATACATTAAGGATCCGTGTCATGAGTTGTGGTCAGGAACCATTGCCGTAAGCAAAACCACGTTGCTTATACAGTGGAATTTCTAATGCCCGACGCAATCTGTACCGAGACACCTGCATTTTTTTTTTGAGTGAGTTTAGCACTCAAAGTTGCCACAAGATGGCGCCAAATCCCGGCTTCCTGTTAAAGTATATTGAAGTAATATGACAAGCGAGAGACTAACATCTTTGTAAGTCTTTAGGAGCTACGGTAAGTTTAGCCTGTGCTTTTAGCGGAGATTCGACACACATTACAAGAAAATTTGAATATTTCCCTTCCCACTTGTGTATTTCACTTATTGTTAATCATTCCTCTTTCCACAAAAAAAGGAATGTCCCAGTGGGCTTGTGGATGAAGAAACATTCAAGACCATTTACTCACAGTTCTTTCCTCAAGGAGGTAAACGTGATGATAAATGTTAGTTTTGACTGACATCATCAGCGATGGTTTATTGATTGGTTTGCATTATATTGAGGGCTGGGGTTTTTTTTTTCCTATTGTATTAAAATGTGCAACCTTCTCTTGCTTGCCTCGTTTCTCAGATGCCACCATGTACGCACATTTCTTGTTCAACGCCTTCGACATGGACAGAAGCGGCGCCATCCGATTCGAGGCGAGTTTCGCGCCCCCTTTTTATTTTACAATTTTGAAGACATTTATGAGCTAAACAAATTATTTTCGCAGGACTTTGTGCTGGGCTTGTCCGTGCTGCTTCGAGGTTCGGTGACGGAGAAGCTGCGCTGGGCCTTCAATCTCTATGATATCAACAAGGACGGCTACATCACTAAGGAGGTTGATGCAACTTCTACCCTGTGTGAGAAATGTGGAGCCAAAACACGGTTACTCAATTCCAGCATTGGGAATATATGAATTATTGTATCTAGGATTATATATTAGTTCTAAAAAGTCTACACACTGCTGTTCAAATGCCACCGTAAATGTGACATGAAAGAGTGTCAGGAAAAGCCGACTGGAATAGCGCACCCTCTGCTGGCCACAGGCTGCATTTGCAAGTGACACAATTCCATGTTTTTTTGTTTTGTTTTGTTTTGTTTTTTTTTTGCTTCCAAATGGCATCATTCTCTTATATGATGCATTTCTTTTCAATGCCAAAATGTAATGGCAGTGTTCTAGCTCCGTGGAGAAACCCTTACTACCGAGACTGTTATGATTTCTTGAGTCACGTTTCAATTGTTTTTCTTGCAGGACATGTTGGCAATCATGACATCCATTTATGACATGATGGGCAGGTACACCTTACCGAGTGTACGAGAAGATTCCCCATATGAGCATGTGGAGAAATTCTTCCAGGTACGCTGGATTGTTTGGTCGAATCCTTGTTTTGAATGAATACATGTAAACAAATATTTTTTTTTCCAGAAAATGGATCGGAACCGTGATGGAGTGGTGACCATGGATGAATTCATAGACACCTGCCAGAAGGTAAAACCACAATACCAGTCAGCGTATGCGGCGTTGCGCATTACATCTCGTTGGCGTTTTGTCTTTGTAACAGGATGAGAGTATCATGTCTTCCATGCAACTCTTTGAAAACGTCATCTAGCTTCAGGAGGAACTGGAAACGTCTTAGCGATCACCGTAGGTCCCCACCCCCCTCATATATTGGCCGTAGTAGCTGCAGAGAATACTAGGTGCCAATTAGAAGTCAGGTGTTTTTAGGGCAGAAGAACTTTACTTTTATTTTCAATTTTATCTTTGACAACTAAATGACACTTCTAATTCATGACATCACATATGTCTGTATGTGCCCTATGATTGACTGGCAACCAGTCCGAGGTGTTAATCTAGCAGCGTAAGAATATGTGGTCAAGCCGAACAAGAAGGCACACTCAGTGATTACCTTACTTATGTTCATTTGTTTGTTTTGTATGTATGGCTTACAAATTATTTCCTGTAATTGTGACTTCACTACTGCATGAGGGTAGTTTAGTGAGTCGGTAAATACAAATTCAGGTTACATCACCATTGTAGGAACAGAATCCCATCGTAAACCCAGGTCACCATGTACTGATTAGTTGGAGAGGAGTTTTTACCCTGTTGGGTTTTTTTTTCTTCGTCACATTGCCGTCTGGTGCCATCTACCTCTTGCATTTAATATGGATGTAATCAAAGTTTTTTTTTTTGTCTCTTTGTTTTCGCACTGATTTGTTGTTTTGCATCTCAAGCTGCATAAATAAATGTGTGTAGACTTATTTGAGATCAAATCACTCTCTTCCCTAGTGCACAACACAGAATCGTATGTTCATTTTTACAATCAAGTAATTAGAGCTAAAAATGAATACAACTGATCTTTATGCAGTCTTTGTTGTGACAAAGGGGCTTCACATGATGACATGAACAAGTGTGTGTCTGTCGCCAGTTTCCCCTCAGAGGCAAGATGATAGATATTAAGGAACACTGCCAATAAAAGGGGTGGGGGGGGGCACAGACTAGTGTTTTATTGAACAGAAATGTCTGTTAACAATCAACTCTGTTGTTTTACATCCTGTATGCAGCAAAACATGCCGTGCAAACGCAGCTCTGATTCATGAAGTCATGGTTGTCTGCTGTGTTCTGTAAGATGAATCATAGGCCCTGAAGCCACTCAAGACTTCCTTGTGATTATGAAGAGAGAATATCAAACAACCAGCAAGTGGTCTTTTTTCAGTGGGTGGATATGGAGTAGGAAAGCTAGCTAGCTAGCAACCAGCTAGCGAGTTTTGTTTTTAATGGGTGGATATGGAGTAGGAAAGCTAGCTAGCTAATTTAATGAGCAACACTTACATAATTTTATACAAAGTTTTCCATTTTAATCAGCGTGCATGTTTTTTTTTTTTCCGAGTTTCCTTGGGAAAGGTTTTGTCCTTGAACAACTTAACGAAGACCACATTTTACAGTCTGCTCTTGGGAAATATATAGGAAATTGTGGAACATGGGGCACGGTTCAAAGATGTTTATGGTATATAGTACATTGCTTTGTCAAGTGAAAAGGAATGTTTTCTAAGTCACACAACAGAAGTGCCAAATTCACTTTACAGGGTCTTTTTAATCCTAATCGTCATGTGTAATTATCAGCTAGCCTTAGTGCTAACAACATGTCAGTATATGTTGTTGATCGCAAACGTGTGCAGTGTCACACCGTCCCCTGTCTGCATATGTGCTGAATAATGGCACATGGCCGTGGGAGGTCAGCAAAAATCATTCAACCTGTACTGTATTATTCCTCTTTGGCCAATAGAAACACGAGGGGGGTGGGGCTTAGCTCCTGTCGGTGTCGAATTAATTATGAAAGGGCAACTTTCTGGATCGAATGGATTGCCCCATCAGCATCACATCCTCAGTGTGGGACCCCACGGAAAGGTAAACACACTGTTGCTCTTTGATGGTTCTTATTTTGTGTGAGGAACATTGGCAATTTTTGCAAAGTGTAGACAAAGTCAATATATTGTAATTGTGTCTTCATATTTAGGTCTTATTTTAATTTTTTTATCTATTTATGAAACTACTACTAAATACTTAAATCAATCTCATTTATTTTTACTTATTTTCGTATGTAACTTTTTATTTAAGAAAAATAAATTCTTGCCGCGTCAACCCTAAGAAAACCCAAAATTTCCCTTTTTTAATGTTTTGGTTTTACTTTTTCCATTTATTTTATTTTGCCAAACTACGACCACCCAATTCATGTCACGTTAGTTTACAGACGCAATTGTCAGTTTTTAAAATTAATGTATCTTTTATTTTTATTTTATGAGAGGACTTCAAAGTACTTGCCACATCAGTCTAAAGATTTTATTTTATAAAGTTATGAGTCTAAAAGAAATGTATTTTTTATTATTCAAGCTCCTACTCCACAAACTACACCTTCACTCAATAATTGCTGATTTTTTTTTTCGCACATTTTGAAATTTTTTTTATTTGCATTTTATTCTGTTAACAAACTACTACTACAATCCAATACATCTTTATTCATATAGCACTTTCACAACAGCTGCAGCTGTAACAAAGCACTTTACGGAACATCCATCCATCCATTTTCTAATCCGTTTACCCTCACAAGGGTTCCGGTGTGCTGGAGCCTATCCCAGCTGTTAAACACTTAGTGCATTAGGCCTCAAAGTATTTTTTTTAACTGTATTATTCTATTATACTTCCCACAGTAGCAAAATAAGCTATTTTTCGTGCTTTTTATATTTATTTTTTTATTTAACACAAAATTCTTGCTACATCAACTCACTGAAACTTTTATGTACCCGCACTTACAACAGTACTACAGTGATCAATGCATGCTTTCGGTATAATGAAATATGTGTAATGACATAAAACAGCATTCTTAAAACTAATATTCTATATCATGTAGAATTTACGATTGTCTCTCCTTGATATTGTTTTGGTGTTATGGACGCATTGCTACATATCAGCAATAACGATTGCACTATGTAATTATGTCAGTTCTATTACACACCGTATAGAAAATAATCGTTTTGATCCTTGTGTGATTGCAGGACCTCCAGGCTGTGATGACAGGCCAGCAGAAGCTTGTGTCACTGTGGCTCTTGTTGTTGCTCGTAGTAGCCCTGTGTCCAGGGGCGCAGTACACATACAGCAAGCGTGGCGGTGGTACACATAAGAGCGGAAAGAGCAACAAGGTACCTGCTTCTAAGGGTCACGGCCTCCCCAAGCCCGGCCTCAAGTGGGCGGGGGCGGCGGCGGCCGGCATGCTGGGGGGCACGGGCACCGGATACGGGCTGGGCTTCCTAGGGAGGCCCAAGTACGGTTCCAGGGGGCACGCCGGCCAAAAGACGGAATCCAGCGGGCGCCACGACAGCCATGGCCAAACGTTTCGCAATCAGTCGAGATGGAGGGCTTTTCTGAAGGCGGCGGCCCCTGCGCACTTGAGTAACTCCTTACTTTTGCTGGGACACGCGCTCACCTTCCTCACAGGGCTCTGCATGGGTGCACTTTGACTCGTGGAAATGGAAATAGAATAAAAGTTTGCAAATGATATTCCCTTTCGATTCATGTTGTTTACTTACTTATTTAAGAATACTGAATCCCGTGAGGCCCATACTTGACGTTTGTGGTTTCATGGAACACCACCAAACCAAACTGCCACAAAAAGTGTAAACAATGATGATGATTGCATCTAAATTTACTCGCAAATTAATTTCGTCTGTCACGGTCTGTTTCGTTGGAACACAAAGCGCTTCTTCTGTTTGATCTTTATGGGTGGCAACAGGTGGTTAAACAAGATCTGCCAGAACCTCCCCCTCCCCCAAAGTTTTTAATTACCTTTTATTAATATAGAGTAGTGTAACCATGATCCCAAATCTATTAAATGTCACGAGATGATTCCCGCAAGTAAATCGGCTTTGTGTTCAATAAATAGGGTCGAGAGTTTGCATTAAGTACATCTGTGAGTAAATTAAGATCATGATTGGAGTGAAATGCTTTTTGTGATAGTTCCGATTTTGTTGGCGTGTCGTGAGATTTTTTTTTTTTGACACTGGATGACTTTGAATGTCAATCTATGACTCATCCAAATTTGGTGGTGACCACACACGCAAAGATTTGAAGTGATACATTTTGAACACGTTTAACACAACTGTCGGCACGACCATTTTCCGAACCCTGTGTGATTAAATTAATTTAGCATCATGGCTCACTTTTAAGAACCCGATCATTCTTAAAATGTTTGAGAAACGTAGAGTCATAAGGCAGATAAGTGAGTCAGAGAGAGGGATTTTGGACACAGAATTTATTTGATTACATACACATTGACGGCAAATTATAGTACATCATAGTGGTAGGAACTATCAGCTGCTGGCAAAAAAAAAAAAAAAAGATTGATGCAATCGATTTGAATGACGTGGTTTCAGAATGTCACAACTGGAAAGGAGAAGTGCACTTGTTTTCCATACGGGAAAGACAAACGTGTTGGGGGGGTAGCAAACATTCATTTAATTTCTATTTTGAATCACCGAAACTGAATGATTTGTGAATTCATACAAGTTAAAAAGACATAAACAAAACTCACTTCACAAGTTACTTAAGAATAAATCGTTACTGGGAAAAAAAAGTTGTTAGATTATCTGACAATGGTCTCTCTGGAGCTATGTTAATGAATGCATTAGTCCAAACACAAAATAAATCTATGGAGTGATTTAAACAGAGTACAAAGCAGATACTGTATGTGTAAAATAACAGCAATGTAAAGGAACCATACCGATCCAAGTCAAATGACAGGTGCAGGCTCCCAAAAAAAGCATTGCGTCAGTTTTTCCGTCGAGTTCAACCATGAAACCTGATGCGC